AAAAGGTCTCTTGGTAAAAATCGCTACAAGTAATGGTTCTCGAGATATTTGAAATCGAAATTATCAATGCCTGTCATCATTGACATAAATAATTAAACATGTTGACAAAATGGTTATTAGACTGAAATAATAAATTTGAAATGTTTTTGTGTCAAAAGTTCAACAGAAACTGTTTTATCATTATTTTTCACAGAAAAATGTATGATTATTTAAAAAAAATAAAAATTTCTCAAATGTATTATTTCAGTCAAATAACTAACTAAGTAATCTACTCGACGTGTTTATTTTTTGTCAATAATGACATGTATTTCCATTCTAAATATCTTGAGAACGGTTGCTCGTAGCGATTTTTACCAAGAAACGCTTTTTACGTAAAAAGTCACAGAAATGTATATTTTTTCAGTCGCTTAATAAAGGTTCACAGTTTTATACAGGTACAGACAAAAAGTTATTACTCTTCAAAATAGTTAAAACACATGTAGGTGGCGCCCCCTACAAATAGGACTCATATTGATATCAAAATCAAATTTCTCATGTCAAAAAACTCCCAGACACCAATTTTTATCGAAATATTGACGTTCTTCATAATTTGGAAAAAATCGAAATAAAAATGAAACTTCTACACCCTGTATCTCTGAAACTAAGCATTTTAGGACATACATTTATAAGAACTTTTTTACTTCTTTTTATCTGCAGAATATGCTGCCGAAGTTTCCTGAATACAGTTGGTACCACCCTGTATATTAGAAAGAAAATCAACATTCCGGACTGCGATTACTGTCAAGCTGTAGACGACGCCGAATACACCTTGTTCAATTGTTGTAGATGACAGAAACCAAGGGAACACTTCTATAATAGGACGGGAAATAAATTTTGTGCGACAGTGGTAAAATGTCTATTAGAAAGTGAACAAGAGTGGCAGAATGGGACTTAATACAAAAGCAGAATGGGATAAATATATTATAATGACAAAAATTGCTGAATGTGAGACATTATATGTCTAAGAACTAAGGGCCCCTGTAATGAAGTAAGGATTTTGTTGAATAAGCTTATTCTGTTGCAGATGGTGAAGGTAGCTGATGAAGGTTTTTTTTAGTCGGTAAGAATCCGACACTATCTGGTAAAATACTATTTTTTCTGGATATTTTATGGAATATTTTTCTCCAACACCACACAAAAAACTACCTTATATTTTCTATTATCTCTTCTAAAAATTTATATAGGTATTTTACTTATCGAATAAACCTCGTTTTTACAAATAGAAAATTTACACTATTACCAAATATTAACTTTGCTTAAAATCAATTAATTTTTTATGGTAACGGAATAATGTATTTTATTTCTCACGCACAAATTTTCTTGCCGAAATCACAAAGAGCTGCGGTTTGGCGATTAAATTTCTTAAATCAGATATTTTAAAACTTGTTAGTATAAATAAACAAAATTTCTTTGTTATGCCATTATTTTACGGCACTCGTATTTAGCTTACTAGGTTATCTAACATTATATGGAAAATTTCAAGAATGTTTGATCCTGCAACCGTGCAGAAAACAGTTTAATGGTCTTAATTTTTATTGGCGATATATATTATTGATGATTTCTCTATTATTATAGACTAACACATAAAAACGAATAATAACCATAATTTTGATTATAAATTAACACGAACAAGAAGCACAGTAATTTAAAGTAGGTGTTTAAATAGTAATGATTAACATAGTGTTCCAAATGAGTAACATTTTTATTATCTTTTATTTGTAGGAATAAAAAAATGGAACCAAATCAACCTACTGAAAAATATACTGTATCATTTAGGCAGCATTCAACTTTAATTAATGATTTATGTATTATTATCAAGACAATGTAAATTATATTCATTTTGGCCTCGTCTCAGAAAAAGGATTATAGTTTCAGTTCCCCCGCATAAGGTGTTATACGTTCCTATAGATTTCGACGAGACCTTCATAATTACAATTGAACTTTATTACAGAAGTATTTTTTTCTAGTAGTGACAAATATAGAGAGATATTATGTATAGGGGCACATATAAAGTGATGCAAATTTGGGTGCCATGAAAATACCATACCATAAATCAGGCCTCTAGATGCAAAAACCGACAAGTCACACATTTTTGAAAATTGAATTCTATACACATTTATTTAACTCGTTATCTCACCATTAACTCAGTGAATTACATTTTTATACAAGATACAAGATATTTTCAAGAAATAATGCACCTGTTAAATATAGTGTTTTAGATTTATTATTCTATTTAATATTCATAATATTTTAAATCATTTTTTGTGTATTCTGTAAAATTTATTTGAATGGTTTTGCATTTAGACGTCTAAAATATGGAAAATAAAAATGTAAAATTGACCCAAAAGAGACTGGTTACAGCTATCAAAGAAAAATATGATTTTAATTTTTTTGCGGAAAATGTTTATATCTCTACGGTTTAGGAAACTCCGTTAGATGTTAGATTGTAGTTTAACTTTGTATTTTTCTAATGTCATCTTACATGAACTGTAAATATAAAAATTACGCATGTATAAATGATAAAGATTAATTAATAAATATACAGGTTAGTCCGAATTATATTCAGGAAACTATGGCTGCAGATAAAAATAAGTAAAAAAGTTATAACTTGATGTTCAAAAATGCTTCGTTTCGAAGATACAGGGTGTAGAAGTTTCATTTTTATTTCGATTTTTTTTTCCAAATAATTTCTGAACTAAAGTCGATATTGGGATGAAAATTGGTGTCCGGATGTTTTTTGACATAAGAAATTTGATTTCGATGTGAACATATGATTTGTCATTTTCTATCGAATAATGTAAAAAATGACCGAGTGTGCCATTTACAAATCAAAAGTTTATTACAAATTCATTACAAATCAAACATTTCCGATGAAACCGCCGAAAATTATTGAATCCGCCAGTCAATCCTAATTTATGTCATATACTAACATACCAAATCTCGTTTTGGCATCTCATGCTAACATCGAAATCGAATTTCTCATGTTACCCAGACACCAATTTTCATCCAAATATCGGCATTAGAGTAGAGGGAGAAGGGGGTTTCTGCATCCACCACACTGTGGATAACGTACAGGAACTTAGAACATGTAAAATTACATGGTTTAAATAACATGGTTTTTTCATGGTTTCTTTAACAGCAGCAACAGGAAGAAAACAATAGTAACTTGAATATTCTTCATGTTAAAAAAAAGAAAAACATTTGCTCTTGAGGATATAGTAGGAAAATACCACAAGATCTTTCGCCGAAAGAATTCTTCCTGTGGAGAACTGTCAAAAACCGTCTTTATGGGCATATTAAAAATATAGAAATTCAGTGTGAGGCGGGAATGTTTCAATCATTTGGGGTATTGTTTGGATGTCAATGAGGGATTATGTAAACATTTTATTCTCTCTCTCTCTCTCTCTCTCTCTCTCTCTCTCTCTCTCTCATTAGTATAGTTTAATAAAGTTCTTTAGTTACAAATATTTCTTTTATTTGTTAAATTATTGTGGATGTACGTACAGTGGTATGACCGAGGCCTGCGAGTGATCGAGTAATGAACAGTAATTATTGTAAGTCATACTCCGCGAATACTATTCACAATTTTATTACTCAGTTCAACTAATTCTTTTGAGATGATCATTCCAATTCAAAAAAAATAATCACCCTTTCCAAACCACTTAAATTCTTCTAAACAAAAAAAATATTACATCGAATTTGACAATGACAAAATCATATTTTTGCTGGTACTTTAATTGTAGCTTTCGCTGGGCCGTATTATACATTTTTAGTAATTTGAAGGTAAATTTTTGCAAATAACTTTTAGATACCTATTCCAAAAAAAAAACGAAATTCTAGACAAAAGTACAACTTTAAGGCTTCTTCAAAAAAGTCTAATACAATCTTTGCATACAATTATCTGGGGAGATAATATTTAACCTTTTCAAAATTTACATGACATTTCTTATGTCCCGTCTTCCGATGCACCACAAGGTATATTACTGATATTGTAATATTTCTATTTCAGGAAAGGACAGTTAAATGCTTCTGCTATATACAGTTATAAATGTCATTTAATATATCTTGACCCTGACAGTTAAGAAACGCTAATAAAAGAAATGCTAATAATAATAAATCATTATCTAACAATGTAATTGTAGAAGAAAAAGAATTAAATATTGAAGTAATACACAACTTGACCGCAATTTACCTTAAACCCAACACATCATTTGATAAATCTAAAATTAATAGTAGAAATCACCTCTGTATCAAATTAGAAGTGATTCTTTAAACCACAAGGTATGACCAAAAACCAGCACTTAAAACTTAATTAATGCCTAATTTAATATATTCAGCTCACGGTATCTGGTTCCATACAGAAACTACTATCTGATGAAGAAAATGGTTTTTCCGCTACAATTTACAAAGCGTATTGAAAATTATGGTCAGATATTTTAAGTGATGTAAGAGTACCGTTACAAGTGGCAAAGTGGTTACAGTTTGTAGCTTCTTGTTCTATCATTTCAATATTAAAAAAGTATATATTTTTGTTTAATACATTTAGAAAATATTATTAGACGCGTATATTTTAATATTAATTATCATTTGTTTAACTCTTAAAAAGGAAAAATGGTATCTCTTACTTGATTGAACAAATTATAAGAAGGGTAAGAGACACAGTATCTAACCTGTTTAATTTACAAAAAAAAGTCGTTTAACAAAGTCAAAATATTATGATTATTAATTATCTTCCTGCAGATAATTAGTATTGATTATCATTCCTCCTTCCTCCAGATTATGAGTAATTATTGCTCTAGAACAAATTTCCTGAAGACGAAGAGTTAAAATGCATTTTTAGCCGAATGATTTAATATAAAAAATGTTAAATCTGAACTTATGTGTAATAATAAAATATAAAGTTTAATGAGGATTAGAAATTAATAAAAACTGTTTTTCTTTTGTGAGAAAATTGTCCTTACCTTTTTTCAATATCAAGAATCATCTCGCGACTTAGTCCAAAAATATCACCATCGATTTTTATCGATAAGATGAAGCAAAACAACTCTCACGCGCGATTACGTCTTCCTGAGCATTCTACTCGCGCCGGTCGCTACTTCGGGTTAACGAAGACCCCAGAAACTTTCTTCCTCTCGGCTTAAAGACGACTCGGTACCGACTGACAAGCGAAGAAACTGTTTCGCGGTCTTCGACGGTCGTCATCGTCGCAGCAGAAGCTCTCCCCCAGGTGCTTTCTTTCATGAGCAGCGTCGCATTTGACGCTGATGCGGACTTTTAAATCTCCTCGTGGTACGTCGTGTCGCTTAACTGATTTTAACATTGTTTTTATATTAAATTTTTATACTAAAGTGTACAAAGTCGTATCATTTTAGATTGGGCATTTAAATTTGTCTTGATTTTCTAAGATCCTGGGATTTAATATCGGAATTAAATATACACCGGGATCCCGGTTTGGAAACCCTAATTATCACCCTTTCCTTAGTATTGAACTAAATAAATTTTCTGCTTCTTTAACATCTTAAAACAGCAAAAAATATGCCGTTAATTAAAATTCTATCAATAACAATCTATCAAAGAATGAAATCGGAATAATATTACCATAGAAACCTTTTGATTATTAGGACTTTGACTAAATTCTTAGTCTAAGACTAAATTCAACTATATTTTCAGGCTTTTTTAATTTCTCTAAAACGGTATGGCAATTTGGGAAACAACAACAACTGGAATATGTAGCGGAAATTCAATTACCTCGGCAGTTTTATTGTGGAAAAGGCCAATATCGACTCTGAAATTCAGCACAGAATTAGCAGCGCCTCAAGAACATTACGGAAATTAAAAGACAGGGTTTTCAACAATCATGACTTGAGCACAAAAACGAAACTTGCAGTGTACGGAGCAATAATAATCCCCATCATGTTATATGGAAGCGAATTGGCGCGGCGACTGGGTGCCTTACCGCCGGCACACGAACGCAATAAACAAATTGCAACAGAGACACCTTAGACAACTGTTAAGAATGAAATTGTATCACCATGTTTCAAACGTATCGGTCCTCGAAATAGCTAGCTGTGAGAGCGCTGAAGTCATGATTACTAAATCCCGCTTAAGATGGGCTGGTTACGTATGCAGGAGCAAGAAAACCACCTACCGAAATCTCTTCTTTACGGTGAGCTTGTAAACGGTAAGAGGAAATCTGGCGGACAACTCAAAAGGTACAAGGATATTTTCCATGAAAACTTAAAGGGGATAAGCATGCAAAATTCGTGGGAAGAAGCAGCGCAAAATAGAACACATTGGAAAATAATTGTAAACTCAGTTAACAACGACCACCAAAAAGTAAAGGGGCAACAAAGTAATGAAGTTTTTGAATGTCCGGAGTGAGGAAGAGAGTAATAATATTACGTATTGGACTTTTCAGTCACAGAAATGCTCATGAAAGAAAATGCCTTTCTTAACCATCTTCTGATGCTTTAAGGTACAGCTTGGCATTAGGCTTATTATACAGGATGGTCCGAACTGAATTCCGGAAACTTCGACAGCATATTCTGCAGATAAAAAAGTAAAAGAGTTCGTATAAATGTATGTCCTAAAATGCTTGGTTTCGGAGATACAGGGTGTAGAAGTTTCAGTTTTATTTCAAATTTTTCCAAATAATTTCTGAAGTAACGTCAATATTTCGATAAAAATTGGTGTCTGAGAGCTTTTTGACATGAAAAATTTGATTTTGATGTCAATATGACTCCTACTAGTAGAGGGCGCCACCTACACACTTTTTAATTGGTTTGAAGAGTAATAACTTTTCGTCCGAATCTGTATAAAACTACTGATTAAAAAATATACATTTACGACATTTTTTACTTAAAAAAGGTCTCTTGGTCAAAATCGCTACGAGTAACAGTTTTCAAAATATTTGGAATCGAAATTATCAATACCTTTCATCATTGACATAAATTAAACATGCTGACTAAATACTCGTAGTTATTAGACTGAAATCATAAATTTGAAATGTTTTTGTGCCAAAAGTTCAATAGAAACTGTTTTATCATCGTTTTTTGCAGAAAAATTGATCATTAATTAAAAGAAAATAAAAATTTCCCAAATTTATTATTTTTCAGTGAAATAACTATCTACTCAACGTGTTTAGTTTTCGTCAATAATGACATGTATTGACTATTTCCATTCTAAATATCTTGAGAACGGTTACTCGTAGCGATTTTTACAAAGAGATATTTTTTGCGTGAAAAGTCACAGAGATGTATATTTTTTCCTCGGTAGTTTTATACAGGTACAGATAAAAAGTTATTACGCTTCAAAACAGTTAAAATACATGTAGGTGGCGCCCTCTATTAGTAGGAGTCATATTGACATCAAAATCAAATTTCACATGTCAAAAAACTCCCAGACACCAATTTTTATCCAAATATTGACGTTATTTCAGGAATTATTTGGAAAAAATCGAAATAAAAATGAAACTTTACACCCTGTATCTCTGAAACTAAGCATTTTAGAACATACATTTATACGAACTTTTTTACTTATTCTTATCTGCAGAATATGCTGCCGAAGTTTCCGGAATACAGTTCGGACCACCCTGTATATTATTAGAGCTGTTAGGTATACAAAGAAGGTAATATGGCTATACCCAAGCTTCCACCGCCTATTATTACAATATCTCAGGTATGTGAATCGGATGTACTCATCTAAGGCTGAGTCGACCTAGGTACCCAAACTATTTTTATTTTACAAAAAATAGTCGGCTAAAGAAGATTCAAACCTATAACCAAAAACCCAAAAAGATTGGTCGACGATAGCTGTATCTTACTGGGCATTATAATTATTATTTTTAAGTACAAATAGTCATTTTTAATTATAGTAAACAATTATTTTAAAAAAGATTTGATAAACGTCCATATTGTACAGGTATCGACCGACAAGAAATTATTTTGCGAGCTTATACTTCGTCATCGTCGCAACAGATGTTCTGCCTCCGGTGCTCATGAAAGACTATGAGTATCGTTAAATTTGACGGTGATTCGGAATGTTAAAATGTCCACGTTACGTTTTATGCTAAATTTTTCACAGTATTTGAAATTCATATATTTGTAGATACCATTTTTATACAAATTATAAGTATATATAATAATTTTATTATATTTAAGTATTAAAGAACCTACCTATATCTATAAATTTAAATGTTTATAGCCATTACAGGAAATATCCAGATTTCAGGTCATTTTAGTTTAGCCTAAGACATACCAAAAGTCCCTATCGCTGTTGGGAGCATTGCAAATTTCCTAGGCCTTCCTAGTCGGATCAGATTTGGCATGTTTTATGAAAAAACAAGACGAGAAGTCATCCTATTTTATAATTTAAATAATAAAACTATGACGCCAGTGAGTATAAAAATGATTTTTAATTTATGTTTCAAATTTTCTTTACGTTAGAAACATTTTTTATTACAAGTCAAAAGGGTAAAGCAAATCATTTTCTATGAAACCACTATGTATATTTAAATGAGATCAACAATACATATACGTACAGAAATCGCGATATAAATTAAATTTTGATTGTGGTTAATTGTAAATTTATTATTATTTTTTTATTAAGATTTAAATTATAAAATAAAAAGTATACAGTGTGTCAATTTTAAAACTTCCCACCCTTAATATCTTTCTTGCAGTTAAAAATATGATAAATCGGAAAGACACGTCAATTTTATTAGTAAGGGGGACACTCTAAATGAATACTTTTGGCTTTTTTCTTTCAACCCCTTAGGAGGGGTAGATGTCACCCTTGCAATCTTAAATGGGAATGGGGGCCAAGCGGCACATCGTTTTAAAGGACATTTAATTCTCTTTTCAGCGATATCCTACTTTGTTGCTTTTGGTCCAGAGATTTCCTAATAATCGCGTTTCAAAGATGCAGAAACACTTAAACATGCCTGCATTGAGATTTTGGTTTTCAGGCTAGTGTTTACACAAAAATTATTGCAGTGGATCTACTTGTAGTACAAATGATTAGAAGATTAGGTGGCAACATGGACGTAGCCATTACATTTTTTTAGGGGGTTGAAATTCGAAATCCTAATAAACAGAAAATATCATAAACATTAACGTTTCCTTTCTCAAATTCGAATGCAACCTCTAATCAGTTTTACAGGAGGAATTGTTAACATTCCAGCAGGACGGTGAAATTCATTTCATTGGTAGTATCTCATTATTTTTTTCCGGTCCGACAGTTGTTAAACGAGAGATTTGCAGGTACATGGATTGGCAGAAGGGGACCAATTGAATGGCTTTCAAGATCACTTGACTTTTTTTTGGGGGGGGGGGACATGTTAAATCCATTGTTTATAAAACACAATCTACTGATATTGATGATCTTAAAAGGCGAATTACAGCATAATGCCAGTCAAATCCCGGTGAAATTTTCCGAAAAGTTAGGGAGGTGTTTGAAAACAGACTTTATTACTGTTTACGGGAAAATGGACAACATTTTGAACAACTTATAAGATAGGGCGTAAGTGGTGTAACCTAATCTTCTAATCATTTGTACTACAAGGAGATCCATTGCATTAACTTTTGTGTAAACACTAACCTGAAAACCAAAATCTGGCACGTTTAATTGTTTCTGCACCTTTGAAACGCGATTATTCTGAAACCTCCGGATAAAAAGCAGTAAAGTAGCATACCACTGAAAATAGACTTAAACGCCCTTTAAAACGATGTGCCACTTGATCCCCATTCACATTAAGATTGTAAAGGTGACATCTACCCCTCCTAGGGGGTTGAAAAAAAAAGGCTAAAAATATTCATTTTATGTGTCCCCCTTACAAAAATAAAATTGACGTGTCTTTCCAATTTTTCATATTTTTAACTGCAACAATGATATTAAGGGTGGGAAGTATTAAAATTGACACACTGTATTTCTTCATTAAAGGAAACACCAAAAGTATAACTAATTTATTTGTTTCGGCAGAAATTACTTTTGTTGCATTTTTTGCATAGTAATAATTGTCTTTTTCTGAATAAACGTATTTGTAAAAACCATTTTTGTACCACAGGGTCTTCATCATTGACATTCAGTATACCGGATGCGTCTCCAAAGTGGCTCACCCCTATAATTTTTTTTTATTTTTTTTT